GTAGTAGTAGTAGTAGTATATATATATATATATATATATATATATATATATATATATATATATATGCTTTTTCATGAATCTTGTGGCAATTGTAACTCATGGACAATTCATGGCATAACTTTTTTGCACGACGGAATCAGTATCTGTGATGTCCGACTTCCAATTGCAATCCTTGGCTTTCTGAATTTCAACAAGGCGACCTTCAATATTCCTGCTGGCCATTTCACCCGTCTGTCAATCTTCCCCACCCACATGCATTCAACCTATGCTCTCTCCTGGCAAATATATGCACAAACCGACGATTTAGCCACCCAAATACAAAACAATACTTCCGTACATGGAAGAAATATTCCTTTCATTAATTGCTGCCATTACCTTAAATTAATATTTATATGACAAAAATTAAGCTAAGACATTTAAATAGGCAACCTGCACATATTTGTAGAGCTACATGTTCCCATATATTCAACTGAACTTTGATTCCTCAAACTATGATCGCAATTATAAACAGATATTTGTTACATGTGCAGACAGCATCATATGAAATATAATCTCTAAAACTTGGATAATCAATGCCTGAAGACAATAGACAACACAGCGTACCACATGCAGCTTGTCACCAGCAGACTTTGAATCGGGCCCTCAGATTAGATCTAGATCAGTGATAGTGCATGAGAGAACATTTAATTGTTTACACACAGACTGACCTGTAGGCTGTTGCAACATGTTGGGCAGACGTCGCAGTCCCTAACAGAATTATCTTTGAAAATCTTTTTTTCTCCAGCCTGGAGACGTTTAGGCTAGAGGGAACATGTGGCCTAAATTTATCTAATTTGATGTTTATTTCACCAGTGTTGTGGTCATACTGACCAGAGAGGGTGAATGCATGTCATTGAGTAAATCAGGTCAAAATAGGGTAATGTTTACTGTTGTCAGCTGTTGCTTGAGTTCGAGCTGGTCAACCACCTGTTTTCCTTGCATATTTGAGACACAGACCACTGTGACTCTTCGTTGCAGAAGAATTGTTGAAATTGGAATGTGGGAAAGTAGTACTTTTATTAGCCGCGGCGACTGTTGCAGGGCTTCTCTTGCTTGCAGTCTTTTACAGTTGTTAGGGCTAATGTAAAAGACTGCAAGCAAGAGAAGCCCTGCAACAGTCGCCGCGGCTATACTTTCATGAGTATTTATTTTAGTATATTTAACTATAGCCTTCATGTGATGGTAAAACCTACTAGTGTTATTTGCCCTGTACTTGCATTAAACATACCTTGAGAACACAGCCTGCGAACACCGTGAAGCCTCTGTCATGCAGGACCTGGGACACCTCCTTCCCGAAGCCGGTATCGCACCCCGTCACCAGCACCGCCTTGCCCTTTCCGTCCACCTCCGTGACTGGTAGAAACCTGCAGACCGTCCAGGACAGCACAGACGCCAGCAACACGGCGAACGCCTTGGCGGCCAGTCCAGCCCCCAGGGCGGGCTGTAGACACGCCAGCAACATCGCACCAAACACCACCACACGTATCAGGAGTTGGGATGCCATTTTGGACAAATTGTCGAACAGACGACGTTAAAAGAGTCTAGATTTGTGCGAAGTCACTGACACAATACGCACTTTGGAAACACACAGTACGGCAGAGCAACCTTTGATAACAGGGTCAAAGGTAAAGGTGCAAAGGTAAAGGTAGTCTGGGATATAGCACTAGTGTAACTCGTATCCCACCGCTGCCACCAAGTGTAACGTGGCCGAGAGAGGGAGGGAGAGACAGAGAGGGAGATGCTCACGCAGCGGATGTGTACTCCAGACTGACCCTGGTCGAGTGACCAGGGCTACTTTATTAATCTTATTGACACCAGATGTGACGCTGGTGGGCGGTCACCATTAGCCTGGTTGCCAAACCTATTATAGCTCCCGAGTCCTACATCCTCTCCGCAAATTTGCGGAGAGGATGTAGGAGCTATAATAGGTTTGGTAACCAGGCTAGGTCACCAGTCCTATTTCCTACACTGGAACTACACTGGAACTACACTAGACCTACTGGAATGATAGGAAGCAAAATGCAAAGGCCATGTACGGAATTTCCTGTTTTAGAATGATGTGATATTTGTTTTATGACAACTTATCAACCTTCCGAATTCACACGGTTTACTCCCCTTAACAATAGTGGACTCTTCCTTTCAGTCTTTGTCAGTTTGCACAAAGGTCACTTGAGTTTAATAATTAACCCGGGGATAGAGATTGTGAGCCTTGCACGTGTGACTGATTTACCGATGCTGTAATCTGTACAGATGACATTATGCCGGATCAATATCATGTATTAGACAGCACTGTTGCACGACATATTAACATAGCTATAGTTTGGTGATTTAACGGAGAAAAAAAAGGAAATAGAAATTACTTTTTTTGACAAAGAGTAAACAGAAAGTTGCAAAGCTTATGTCTACAATATGAATTATTGTTGTTATATATATATATATCAATACGAATTATAGGTGATGGAAGGATAGAAAATATCTTTTAGTGCAAGTCATAGTTCTGCCAATGACCATATTATTTCACAGTTTTGAACTCTTATTTCGTATACTTGCTATTGATTGTCTACCTAAACGTTAGGCTCTTACATAAGTACCCCCTTTGTTCAATAAAACCAACCCAAAGGAATCGCATAAGAATAACATTTATTCAAAAAGCAAAATTGCACGAAAAGAGCATAGAAAAAGCAAACTGTTATGTTTTGAAACAAACTGCAATATTATGAATAGTTGAGTAGCTAGTGCTCATTGTCTTAGAGCATTTGAGAGATCAGCTACTTATTCTAACGTTCAAAATAGTGATACGATGATATGTGACTAACCTTTTACTAATAATTTCAATGCATTGAAAAGACACACATAAAAATATACTTGATTCTTTTTAAGAATAAGCTATAAAAAGTATAATCATGTCATGTACTCTCTCTTATATATTTGCATATTGATGATAACAAGCTTCAAGCTCGAGTCACAACAGTCCGTTCTTTGACTTCTCCCTGTCCCGTATTTCTCCGGAGGCTGACCCCGGTCGTTCTCGCGCCCGTCTGCCGGGGGACTGTTGTTCCCTCTCCTGGTTCCACTGCTCCGTTAGCTGGTCCTCCACACGCTCCATAAAGGCGCTGTGGACACGGCGGTTCGGTCTTCGGAAGCGCTAAGGGAAAAAATAAAACGTTTTCTTCATTAGTACAATGTTGAACTTATAACAACACTACGAGGATGGAAAGATCAAATTTTCAACGAACACTGTCGCCTTCATAACGATACTAGTCATATTAATGACCTATCACCTCCAATTCCAAATATAAATTCGCGAGAGTTACGGCTACAGATGATATAGATCTTAAGTACAGTGTCATTAGACATGACAGAAGAACTTTATTGACACAACAAAAGTACAGCGACTTTCGTAAGGTCTAAGACATGTAGATATACAGACAAATATGGCATCCTTTATACCTCTTAAAACGTAGTCTTGGTCAGTGTGCAGGATTCTACCTACCATCCATATAATGCATATCATATATTGACTGCAGCCATTGTCCCCCAACAGAACTTACTTAGGCCACAGCAAGTGAATTTCATGTAAAAAAAACAATACATTTTGTTGCCCTCAGACGCTGGTCCCCATGCCGAAAATGGCAAATGTCGTAAACGTCTATCGGTTCAGAGATCATCAACGATCCAGCAAAGTTGAAGCAACAATTGCTCGCTTTTTTTTATAGCAAGTGTTGACAGTTTAAGGTGTTCTATCGCATATGGATACACAATGTAGTAACAACTGTATGCCCATGATCGTATGACAAGCTTTAATTTTGTTCTACAATATTGTTACTACTAAAAGTTAATTGAGATGTATGCACGCAGATGGTACAGTTTTTCTGGTGAATACAGAAATAGAAGACCAGTTAGTTTCAATATCGTGTTTTTACTCCCTCAATTCAAGATCTTGTTTACGAAATTTGAACTGCATGTTCATCTGGTCTTTTTATTGTCCATTTTGTTTTTCGCCCCATAGCATTACTTTTGGAGTCTGCAAAGGATGCCATCCATCAAATTTGTGGCCTTAGTTAGTACTAATAACATGAAAACCACATACCGTGTATGCGTAGTACCGGTTGGGCCACTCCTCTTTGGGATGGATGAGTTTCGCGTCCCATTTCGGTTCGGCAATCTTCGGTCGGTACATCTGTCGGCCCTTGTCTACGTCACGACCCACGTCAGAATGGGCCAGGCCTGAAACTATGGTGATAAAGAGAAATGTTAATTAGCTACTATCGTTCTATGGAGGTATTGTTTTCGGCATGTCTGTGTGTGTCCGTTTGTGTGTATGTGTTTCCGCATAGCCCCTAGGTTATGTTTTAACGGATATTGTCACGTTCATTCTGTCCCAGAGGGAGAAAGTCATTTATCACCTTGTTACTGTAATTATTTGTGCTTTCATTGACATGACCTCGTTGACAACCGGTGCTCTCCCTTGCACGATTTCAAAAAGGGGATTGCAACCGGGTTACGTTGCATCAGTAGTTGTCAAGATGAGATTTTTAACCACTTCTAAGAGTCGTGATTTGTAAACATCATGGTTTCATGGAGGTCTGAGATCTCCGAATTCTTTTAGCTGGAAGTAATATGTATGTCATTGTATGAAGGGAACACTAGAATAGTCCTATTAGATTTTGAACAAGGAATATATTTTGTCAACGTAGGCATGTATATGAGATACAGATATAAAGCATCAAACAATTACAGTTAATTTTCTACTTACTCTGGTTGAGCCGTTTTGACTTGAAGTTGATGTTGCCCGGGTCCTTTTCGTGCTTAGTTTCGAACTCCGGAAGGCCTAGTTTCTTTAGGGGTGGATACTGTAAAAACAATAATGCATTAGCGAACAAACTACAGTGGTATTACTAACACCCACGTCTTCTACATGATAAAAAAAACCCAAAAAAGATCTCAAATTTGTGAAGAATTTACACCATAAGTGTCATAATTCAATTGTAGATGTCAATGCGCCTACAACTGACATGTCAACCCAGCTTCATGTACCAAATTATACGTAGGGGAAACAGGAAGAACATGTGGTTTTCAGACTAGAAGAACATATTATTAAAGAGGCAGGTACATATTAGGAAGGTACACAAAAGCAAGAAAGAGGTAAGCTAAAAAAACAAGAGAACAGCTCAGCAGTCACAGAACATATCACCAAAAAGCTTCATGAGCCGTTCAGCACCTCTATGCACTGTGCTCTATGTGGCTCCTTGAACATTTTATGAACATCTGTTAAAAGCTCAATATTGCTGTAGACATATATAAGTAGTAACTGTTCGCCTTGTTGATACTTTGCTAAGTGAATAATTGTGTCTATTAGTTTTGACGTTTCTATCACCGGTGCTATACCATTAAGTTCGACCAATCGCTGAGTCGAATCGTATTACCACGCAAGTCTTTTGTCAACCTGATGTGACAACAGTTCCAGGTGTGTGTTGACCAAACAGACTGAAGGTAATGATCTGTAACAGTGTGATGTCTTCACTGGCCTAATAGTTGCCTGTAATGGTGCCTTAGCCTGGTTACCAGACGTATTTTAGCTCGGATCCCAAGTTTTCATCCTCTTCGCAAATAGCGGGAGTGGATAAATACTCGGGAGCTAAAATACGTCTGGTAACCAGGCTAATGTGTTTTGATTGCATTTTTATTTGGACTTAGGGTAAATATTAGCCTGGTGTCCAGACGTCTACCGTGGTTTTGTTGGGCTCTGTTCGGGCCTGCAGTAGTTCCCCGCCGCCCAGCTAAACTAGACTCCTCGTTCGGAGTTTTGGCTGACGGGAGGTCCATCCGCAGCTAGGCGGCGGAGAACTAATGCAGGCCCCAAGAGAGCCCAACCAAAGCGCGGTAGACTGCACCAGCTTAGGTAAAAAGAAGTCGACTCACCTGTCTAAAATCATGAGGAGTTGGATTCTCAAACTGATCTTTCTTGAACGTCAGTCTTCTTACGGAGTCTTTCTTCGCCTCAAATGGATCGTGGATTTTAAATCTGGTCTGAAACACCGGACTTTGGGGCTTCTTAGGTTTTAAGATGTTCGGCAGGACCAGTTCTTGGCTCTGTTTCTGCATCTCTTCTTTCTGCCGTTTCCAGTCGCCGGGAAAAGTGCCGTACCTCCACGGCTGCATGGCCTCGCGACTGTTCCTTGTAGGAGGTTTTGGGTCGTAAGCATCGTAACAGAAACTGGGAGGTTTTCTTCTCCAGATGTCTTCCTGTTTGGGCGGTTTTATCAACAAGAACGTGTCGCTTCTGGTAAGGAGAAGTGCGTTCTTAGCGTCGAACTCAGTCTTGGAGTGAAAACCGAACGGTTTTCCGAAGGGGTTCTGATAGAAGGAGTCCAGGCTTGAACTTTGTAATCTCTGTGCCGTCTCCATAGTTCCCGGAGATTTATTGTGTCTCTCCCCGCCTGCTGATTGCACCTAAGTATCGATAGATCACCCCTAAGAAAACAAAAGATTTAGATAAAGTACAGTAATACTGAGACGTTTATCATCACTAATACCTCCATTACTGGGATACAAAATTTATAAGTCTGTAAATTGGATACTTGTGAAACCACCGCTACATTGCACGATGTAGAACTTTCGTTGGATTGCACAGCAAAATCGTTCTATAATTTCCCCTCCCCACTTCACTTTTGTTTGTGTTGTTGATCTCCCGGACTACCATATATCGACCGCGCTGTCATTAACAAATCAACAACATAGACAGCGCTAAAACTAACGATTGCAGCAAGTATACCTCACAAAATACAAGGAGATTGTAGGGATAATCATAATCCTAGTCACACACCTGTTGGGACATACCTTGGCAACAGGTAATAACAACTGCTTTAAGGGGGTAAACAATGGCGGATTACTACTAACCACGCTGGTCTTTCAGCTGACTAACCTGTGGGGCTCATTGGACTAAACATTCTCGACACACGTCAATATTATGGTTGAGATATCCTGATACATTTAGGCTCATGATCTCTTTGATGATAACGCTACTTGTGTGACACTTGCAAGCCACTTGATGATATCTAACAACTGGTGTAGCGTATCTTACTAGTTAGATTGAGTACAAACTTCGAAATGTACTATTTTCCACCAAACATGATCAAACGGCATACACAGCTTAAAACGAGACAGCCTTTGGGCTATATACACCACAAAATACAATACAGCCGTGCTCTAGATATCTTGTAAGCATTATTTGCAGCATATAGTATATCTGTTTTTTCATGCTTCGTTGTCTATGAAAAGAGGGCCCTTGTCGGTACCGGTTTGCTGGTAGGAGGGCCATTCAAACTCAAGATCTTTTTTTATAAATTGTGCTTATTATATATATAATTCTGTTGGTGTGTTAAGGTGAGTTAAGCTATTATTACCTGTGTAGAGTGAACGGGCTACTGATTAAACGACTGGCGTGTGACTACACAGTAACCCGATGTTTCAAGGTACACACACAGAAATTCGATAAGAAGCTAACATTTCTGTTCAAAGTGACACTATTTTGGACCTTCTCAAAGAATCTACGCTTCGCAGACGACGTAGAATAGTTCAGCAATCCCAACTTACCTCTGCAGCAGAGATTTTGGAGCCGTTCTTGACAGGAAATGTAGTGAATCACGGAGGCCCGGTGTGACACTGTAAGGTGTGGGTATTTGTACTGTAGTGTTGGAGTCAAACAAAAGGCGCCGCGCGTGGCCGCCGTCTCCATGGGGACGAGCGCAGGTCAGGTAACCGGACCGGTAAGGTATCCCCGGGCCCTAGCCTGGGTACCAGACCCCGCGCGACACGATACGTATACTAAGTACAATGTACCATCGGCCGGGGCTATCCTGGGCTACTCTAGCCTCTACCAGGCACCGCGGATCGCTGGAAAAATAGTAGAAAGTGGCCGAAATAAAGGGATACATAGTATACCAGAGAAGATCCGACCAGATCCTGGGATCTTCACTCTGGCCGGATCCCTTTATTTCGGCCAATTTCTACTATTTTTCCAGGGATCCGCGGTGCCTGGTAGAGGCTAGGCTATCGTTGGCTATCCTGGGAGCCAGACTAGTATCGGGCTGTAAGATGGTTTCCTTCGGTAGCCAAGAGCACTAGTAATAGGGCCAAACGTCCCCGGGCTCAACTCCGCAGCGGTAATTTAGATAGGCGGGCGAAGTGCTCTTGGCTACCGAAGGAAACCGGCTGACGGTCCGATACTAGTCTGGCTCCCAGGGTAGCCGGGCAAGCCACAAGCCCCAAAACAGAGTTGGCAACCGGGGCTAAGTATTCTCTCGTGCAGAGATAAATATTTTTTTTTATTGTAAGTTATTGCCCGGAGGCAGGTACATGTAACATGAAAATAAAATAGGATGGACAACGGATTACTAGTACTGGGTTTGACTTCTTTTTCCGAGGGATCGAGTGGAAGACGGATGATCCTATTTTTTCTATAATGCATGTGTGGGTTTTGTGATGTTAACAAGAGAGCAGTTTTCTTTTTTGTCTGTGAACGTGGAGAAATTCGGATGGAATTTGTTGACCTCTAAAACAGGTCCTTTATTTCGTGTTCGTAAAAAGGGCAATTTGAATCGTGTTTTGCCTTCGTTCCAACTTGTTTTACACGTTCTTCCGAGGAGGGGTGCCAACTCAGGGAGCGATAAACAAATAAATAAATAAATAAATAAACAAAGGAAAAATGAGCCAATAAATAAGTAAATAAACTCCGGGAGCAGAACGTGTTGGGAGAGAGTCGGCCCGGGGGATCAGTGAATTTTCTTTCCCTATTCTAAGCGCCCGCCGGTCGGCGTCCGGCACCCAGGCTACCCTGGTACTTGCTAGCTGCATGCAGGTGATTGATGTGGGGATACTGTCAGGTGCGTGTCTGGTACAGGTTGTAATGTATGCATTATTTAACATCACCATAATTGTTTGTAACCGCATAGCAATGAGAAAATAATGGATATATCCACAATAAAAGCCTTAGATTTTAATCGTATGTGGAAAACGCAAAAAGTCGTGTGACTTAGAATTTTCTCATCGTTAGGGCATTGTTCAAAAGTAAAACTCTGCACATGTTCAACATCTATTTTTTTAAAGTCAAAATTGGTAAAAACATGTTACATGTATAATGATTTGTCTGTTACTTTTAGATCCCTATTGTCTCTAGATCTCTAGTAGACGCGGTCTCTTTGTGCTGTCATTGTCCCGGTTAAACATTAATTGTCAGATTTTCATGTTCACTTCAACATATCAATGTTGCATTTTGAAAAAAAATCACTATAAACCATATCTTATCCCTATGATATCTAAATATTTCTAATTTTTCTATATATAGGGAGAAATAAATATTACGCCATTTGCATGCCTATATTGCCACCCCCATGATTATCTATTTGATGGTTCGACCCAATCGATATTGGCGGGAAGCAGTAAAATAAAGAATCCCGTCAATGATATCTCCCAGCATGCACCGCGGCCGCCAGAGAGGAAGTTGCGCCATTTGTCGACATCAGAGCCGTATGGAGACAGGCTGAGACCACAACCCGTCATTTTCCCCCGATTTCCTACATTTTCTAGCGTCACAGACGTTTTCTGTCGCGTTGGTATTTCACAAGAGATACCGTAGAAACTATTTGTTGGAGAAAGTTACATCTGAGCGGTAAAGATGCCGAAGAATAAGGGTAAGTGTATCGGTGTTTTTTCACGTGTGTTTTGTGCCATGCGTCATGTTGCTATATTTTACTGGGGACGAAACGTTACCCCAAAATCTAGAGACCTCCTTTGTTTTGAGAACAACATTTCACACGATATTCTACTTAGGATGTTACCTAACTAGTTAAAGAACTGGGAATGTGTGATTTTTCCTTCTATATTTGCCAATTTGTTAACACGACAGTGGGGAGGGGGGCAGTGCAGTGTACGTTTTCTGCATGAGAATATAATTCAATTTTTGTGTCCATGATACTTGAACCCATGTTGAAAGTTCCTGTTTGGTGCGCCCATTTATATGTCAAAACAAGTCAAAACGATGTGAATTATGCCATCATATTAACCAACATGTAGTCTTTACCACTAGGATTTTTGACTGCTTTCTTTTGTACTAAAGTACATTAAAATGACATATGGTCAGATATCAGAAATTATATCACTCAGTCAGTGTCATTCTTTTTCGCAAAGTATTTTCTCCTTTAGGACAGCCTAGTTTTTACCCTAGCTCTTACATCATAATATAATGTTGAAACCAATATAATTTATATAATTCCCTTGTGAACTGTCCATGTAAATTTGAGAAATACAGTAGAATATGGATGCAATTTTATAAATTACTTCATTACACAATATGTAACATTGTAAGAATGTAAGACAACAGTTACCACGTGGTAGGTAAAAAAAGACCCAGATGTACATGTGAGTCATTGACATCAATACAATTTTTTTAATCTAGTTAAATACACAATATGCAAATGTAATGGTCTTTCATCAATCATAATGAAGGTAATTAGTCAAAGTCTTTAGACCTGTCTTGGGTGTGAGCTTGATCCTGGTTTTGGCTCAGATTGGACATATTGTGAGGGATTGTAGACATTTTGGATGGTGACATGAAGTTGGTGGCCCAATGTATGAGGGATCTTCGGAGAGTTTTCAATCGTGGATATTTACGTATAAAACACTCGGTCAGCACTGTGTTAGCGGCGGGGAAACCTGGCATCCCCGCCCGCCACGGCAAAACTGTCGGCTTGTAAGTTAAACAACATAAAAAAAATGTTGAGATATTGCGCTAACTATCACATTTAAACACTTATAGTAACATAATTTTATCTTAGATTGAACAAAAATCAACCTTAGGGGTCATAACCACTGACGGGGAAATGACCATACTGACATGACGGGGAAAAGACATGATGGGGAAATGACATAAGCCTTAAGACAAACCTCTGCAAATAAAAGAACCCAACTGATCACAATAATTCACAACAAGAAGAGTAGGGGTGACCTGGTGTGCTTGACTATAGTATAATGAAATAATAGAAAAGCTGCTTTGCACAAGAAGCTGAAACATTACTTGAAATAAAAGCAATATGCTGCTTGAAAAAGAAATAAGCTTCACCACGGTTGAGGATGACTACTTTGCCTAATTTTTTCTAGGTAAGGGAGGAAAGAACCGAAGAAGGGGAAAGAATGAGAATGAGTCGGAGAAGAGAGAGTTGGTGTTCAAGGAGGATGGACAAGGTATAGTGTGATTATGAAAGCAAAATAAAGAGTCTATTGAACACATATCTCCATAAAGTTAAAAATACATACTTTTATTAATATCTTTGTCCATTTCGGCATGTTGACCACTGTCAGAAAGCAACAAAATTTCTTGTTTTTTTTCCAAAATCAGGCGAAAATTAATGTGCGCACTAATGTCATCCATAAAAATTACTTGCTGTGGACTAACTGAAAAATGAGCACTTTTTTTATCCCTTTGTTTTCCTTCTCTCTGTAGAGTATGCACAGGTGACAAAGATGCTGGGGAATGGCAGACTGGAGGCCATGTGCTTTGATGGCCAGAAACGATTGTGTCATATCAGAGGGAAGCTGAGGAAAAAGGTAGGTTTCTAATCATTATGATTAACTGGTTACTGATGACAGATGTTGACCACAGTTATGTTATTATTACATTATTTTTCTTTGGTAAAATGTCCATGGCCATACCAGGACACTTTATTTAATGTTGTGACATGTCATTCGATTCTGGTGGTATGCAACATTTATCTGTTACATCAAATCTCTCAAAGTGCATTCATAAGGCCACACCAATTTAATTTGTTGCTTCTCGGATCGCTCTGTCCATTTTTGTCCAATTCGCAAATGCAATTTGCAAAAAAAATAATTTTTGGGTTCCCGAGAAGACTTACTTTTGTGCTACAAGACCCTTGTACGCCCAACATGTGAGTACGCCGCCCCTGCGTGGCATGCCGGACTAACTACAGCACAACGTGCCAGGATCGAAACCCTCCAGAGAAGAGCCTGTCGCATAATTCTTGGACCGGCCTTCACATCCTACAAGGAGGCGTGCAGCATCTTAGACCTGCCTACCCTAGACGACCGGCGACGTGACTTGTGACGTAACTTTGCAAAGAGACTGGTGGAGTCGGAGTCATTCAGAAACTGGCTCCCTCCTACGCGAGGAGACATCAGCTCAAGAGACACTAGAAACAAGCACCGCCTGACTGGGATAAGAACTAAGACAAAAAGATACCAGAACAGTCCAATTCCTTTCATGACTCGCCTCCTGAATGAAACAGATCTGTGATCGAATATTGTTCTAATGCCTGACGTAAATGACATTTACCTATACCCATTGTTATCTGTAGAACGTTATATTTACCTTGTGTACCTTTAAATATTTGTGTGTGTCGTTAAGTACTCTGACGTATCCGTCATACAACCTACCTGTTTTAAGGTAGTGTTTCTTATGTTTTAGAATTGTTAATTGAGAAAGATGAGTTTTTGCCACTATTTAGATTCTACTTTTAACTGTTTTTAAATGTAAAAAGTACGCAATTCAGCCCATGGCTGCGATGTACTAATGTCTTTATCTGATCAAAATGATCGAATAAACCATTCATTCATTCATTCATTCATTCATTCATAAATTAACTGTATAATGCTCAATGAAAGACATTTTGTCCCCAAATGGTTGAAAAAACTCCTTTCCTTCCTAGTTCTTAAAGATTTTCAATGTAACAATGCAATTTTGTTTTAATGAAGGTTCAAAATTATCAACCAGCCTGGTATGTTCACTTCATGGCTGATATTGTAACATTTTCGGCTATCATGGGGTGCCTTGGGCTGTTTTGTTTTCACCCTGTCGCTCCTGATTTTTTTCTGAAAAAATCCGAGAAACAACAAGTTAAATTGGTGTGGCCTAATAAAACAGTGCAAATCATGAAAGTAAGGAAAAAGATGCTGTAGATTCATTATCTGAACAGTGCGTGCATGTTGCAGTATTATGTGTTTTCTACCTGTTAATCCTTGTATTTGCTGATCCACAGGTGTGGATTAACACATCAGACATCATTCTGGTGGGGCTGAGAGAGTACCAGGTGAGTTAACCATCACTATCACAACATTGTGCTGCTGTTCAGGGTAACCAGTAGTCCGGTGACATTAGTCATGTATTGCTTTCATCATAACACAAATTTTGCCATGTAAGAAGTGTAGAATCAGAACTGGCATCATCTGGTGAATAAAGGTAGTCGAAAATGGGGGACATAAGAAGGCTTGAAATACTGGGTGCATGCGCACTTTAGTGCACACAAAAATTGTAGCTGTGTACACCAATTTTTTCTGTTTTGTAGGTTAACGTAGGTAAAGATATCAAACATGTACTAGTATACAGAATACATGTATATAGACGTCTAATTGTCAGAAAAATTCAGATTTAAACTCAGGAAAAGGAGAAGTAAGGTCTGCAATTAGGTTTTGCTCACATTCTACTTTACTTTTAAGGTGCACCCCAAATTTTTTAGGTTGGGTGCACCAGTGCACAAAATCCCAAAAAATGAATTTTGAGCCTGCATTAGTTATTTATTAAGTTGTGTATGACATAAATGTTGTTCTGAGTACTAGTAGTTTTTGCTGACCTGGTCTTATTTGTTGTACAGGATGCAAAGGCCGATGTGATCCTGAAGTACAACGCTGACGAGGCCCGGAACCTGAAGTTATATGGAGAGTTGCCAGAATCCGGTAAGTCAAGATGTATCACTTCAGTGCTATTGCACTTCAGATGTACCCTACTTTGGACCTTAGTTCATCCTACATTTTTTGGTGACGTCTCAGGGAGGAGCCTAATGGTACAGTATTGTGTGCAATAATTCTAGGAATTGTACAGGCATTTTGTCCACAGGCATGGAATGTCCAGTCTCCCAGCTCTGTTTGTTGACATGCCCACATTCCTGGAAACCCTTGGGAGAACCTGTCTGCCGGATGCCCTACATGTACTTTCTGTGACCCCAGGGCTCGTTCACTATACACTCAGGGGAGGGGAGGGTACCAAAATCATCAAAATCATGAAATTATGGCAGTGCCATGCAAACAATAACCCTAACAGCACAACACAAGGACCTCTTCTGGGCACTGAACTAACGCTCACTGCATTAGCATCTCTTCTCCCAACTTACACTTCAGGTATAAAATACAAAATATGTGACTTCCATTACATGTAGGTCTTCTACAACTACTAGTATGCCTAGAAGCAATCAAATTAACTTGCATACATACATACATGACAGTGTTCCTTTTAGACTGTGGAATATGTTTCTATCATAGCACTGCTTTACTCATTTTAAAATGCAGGATGTTTCCAATTTTCCTGGATGATTTTTCTCAAGTCTATCAAAATATGTGGATTTGCACCCACTACTACATGTATGTAAAATCTCCCTCTATCATGTTGTGTTGGAGATTTTCTGATGTATCTTGTTGTATATCTAGAGAAAACTTAAGGCTGAATTAATCTCAATTTTGCATGTAGATTCTTTAATTTGAATTGCATGTGAAATTTTCTGCCAACATGCAATTTTCCATGTAATTGAAAAAAAAGTATTTTGAGCCCTGGCAGTGTATTCATGTTCCCTTTCAACATACCACAAATTCAATCATCCCAAAAGACATCTAGTTGGATAGATTTTTTTAAATTGGAGTATGCTGAAAGTTTCTTAATCAATTAATATGTGTGTCCAATTTTACTAAACTTATAGACAAAGAAAAAACTATTCTTCTTTTAACTTCCCAAAACCCACAAATTTTGAAAAGGTGGGACATTACGTCTTCCATGGTCTAGAAAAGAGAAGTCAAACAGACATAGTTTTAGACATAGCTGTAGCTATAGCTAACTACCTTTTATCATGTAGACTTAAGTTATTTTATACTCTGTTTCATTGTTCTTTTATGTTTGTAATTTGCAATTAGCCCCTGGGCACAAATTTGCAATAAACTTCTCATTCTCTCTCCCCAGTACGAATCAACGACACAGTGACGTATGGTGAGGGTGGTGAGGAGGATGACATCACCTTTGACGACTTTGAGAGAGAAGAGGATGAAATTGAGAATGTAAGTAGGAAGTTTAGCATTACTATTTAGCATTACCAGCTCCAAACAGTTGAGGTATAGATTATGCTGTGTACACACTCTGACTTCTGAAATTCCTTTTTGCTTTCAATACACAATTGCAGTACTGTTTTATAAATTATCTTTGTGTGATATTGTTCTATTCTTCAGCATTTTTATTATGGAATTAGATGTCTTCACAGGGGTTTTTCTAGAAAAATTTGGCATGGGGGAGCACAATCATGGCGAGGGAGCGAAGCGACCGAGGGGGGGTTGGTGCGGAAGGGGGGTATCCGTGATCCGGTATATGTGAAGCCTTTGAAAATTTGAAGTTGAAATGGGACATTTTGAGGCTACTTGAGGGGGGAAATATGAACTCTTTCATTGTATGTTTCTTTAAAAACAAACAACTATGATGTACATGTAACCTGGTTGTGAAAAAAATATTTAGACACTCACTCACACAGTCCTCTTACACAGTCCTCATACAATAAATTGAATATGATAAATATAATGCTCAATACAAATTTCCATTAGTATAATGTATGTGAAAGGCATAGGAGAAGGATAAATAGACTAAAAGAATTCAAGGTTATTTTTCTCAATATTCTTCCCAAATTTCTATTTCTATCTCCCTTGTAAAATATACATTGTAAGTAAATGTACAATCAGCAGTACACACAATCTGCAAATCACCCTTTCTAGTACGCAATTAGTGATTAATGTTACTAGTAGCTCCAGATGACAACACTGGGTTTGCCACAAGCTCAAACCTTTCCCATAATGGCAAAATAGCAACACATTCATCCAAGCTGCTACAAACTCAGGTCTCATGTTTCACTTCAGAGCCTGTTCTATAGTATGCAAATGAAGGAGGCCCAGCTACTTGTCTTTGAGCAAGTTCTCAATGAACATTGTTTATTCCATTCAAACTTTTACTACTAGAGCTGAATTATCATGTTTATGGTAAGATTTTGGAATTTTTATGAGAGTAACATAGTTTGTAATGCTAGAATACATTGTTATGTGGTGTTGTTTTTGTATTTTTACTGGAAAAAGATAAATTTTGAAAAAGACTTAGGCTTCAATCTGAAAATTGATATGAGGGCGCTGGTTTGTTACATGAGGGCGCAGCGCCCCTGTTCCCCTGTTTAGAAAAACCCCTGTCTTCATATGCATCATTTGTAAACAGCCTTGCAATTATTTAGCATTAAAAATATGGGTTTGGGCTGCTATTAGGTATTTGCGTCATGTTGTAGATACATGTATGTACTTTCATCAAATAGACCAGTCTACTACTACTACTACCACGACTTTTGTTAATTGTTGTCTTATAAGTTATAATTGATATGTTGTCAGAGTTGAAGCTCAACCATTGAGAAGTCTTCGAGCTCAGACTAGTTGATTACTGAAAGATAAAGTCCATCACACATTCAGAACCTTCCCTCGACCCACCAACCAACCTACATGTAGGTTGGGAGCAGTTGGGCCAGATTTAGGCTTTGCCTACCTTTATTTTGATATGAATGAAATCAAATTTGAGATGAATGTGAGTCAATAATGAGAATTAAACTGTTCTCCAACTCAAGAACATTGACTCACCGTAATTTTGGCTGGATTTTTTTTATTCATCTTGGTGCACTAGTTTTGGGGTCTTCAGAAGATATCATCCATAACAATAAGGCAAAATGGCCTTATTCAGTTTCGGGGGATGTTTGCAATGTTTGGAGTCCTACTAACAATGAACACCACATTCATATGTGATTTTTCCTGTTCTCTTGCAGATCTAAGCTTCCAGTCCAGCATCAGAATCACTGTTCCTTGTTCTCACTATGGAAGAAGAAGAAAGAAAATACAAAGATACAAGAACATTTAATCTAGGATATGCAGCTTGGAATGCCTCTAACTTGTGCTGAATTGTGTAGGCAGTTCATTAAGAATACTTTGTACTTGCAATTTTTGAGAAGTGAAACAACTCCATATTTGTATGTATGACATGTAAGCAAAAACAGAGGTTGGTTAAAAGCAAAGTAGTTTTAAAAAAGAAAAATGGTTGTTAGAAGATTTTTTTTGAAGCAAACAAATCCATGTAGAGGTAAGTTGCCTGGTATGATATCTAGAAATTGTCCTGTGTTGCTCAAATTTGTGGTATCTGGTCACACTGTAGGTTGGTTTTGAATGAGAGTCAACAGATATGTGTTTTGAGTAGTGTATTTATATGTCACATCCAGGCATTATTCAACACACATGTACATGTGATGATTGTGACTACAGCATGGCCCAATTATGTATATTCTGCATGAGACAACAAGTTAAAGCATCAATATTGTTGACAATATGAAGTCCTATATATTGCAAAATAAAAGAAAAATACATGGGCAATGTCTGGTTTGGTAGTCCAAGCTAGCAATATAATGTTACTTCTTCAATAAACCAGTCTATATAATGGGCACCTTGTAACTTACACATGTAGATTATAAAAGGTAAAGAAATGTACAATACATGAAACAATGTTCAAGTACCACTGCTATGTTATTGTGGTGAATTGTGCTGGTGTATTGTTTTTCAGAATGTGAAAATAAAGCTGTATCAATCTCATCAATTTTCGTAATCATGTTTGTTTACATTCTGATAGTTTGTGGTGGCACCTCAAACTGAGTGCGCCCCGTGGGCCAAATGTGAGGTGATTGCACAAATATGTTGAAAAGTGGAAGTAAATTGCGATTTTTATCAAAATATTTAACGTGTTGATTAGAGCTGTGTACCGGAAAAATTGATTAGGTACAGGTCCAAAATACCTAATCCCTCAGTACCGGTACTGTACCTAAACAATTTCACACCAATTTTATGCCTATTTGTGACCTCAAATGTGTAAATAGCTGGTTAACAATGGGTCCCTGTGTAAGGACAGTGTGTTCATGAAAACAAAAACATCTTAGTTTTGCCTATATTTTATCTGAGCATTCGTCATAAACAAAGAATAAACCTTAACTATCAAGTTTATTTATGTTTTTTTTTGTTATTGAAGGAGTTTAGAAGAGCATATATAATGGGCCGAATTGTTCAGGTTCAGGTCCGGACCTGTACCTAAACCTGTGTACCTGTACCTGTACCTAAAATTTGTTTAGGTACACAGCTCTAGTGTTGATGCAAAAATGGTACACAATGCTCCTTTAAAACATGGACTTGATAACAGACTCAGAATCATGTATCCAAGTCTGATGTATGCATTATGTGTTTTGTAGTAATTTGTTGACCCTTGAACCTCTCCCCTGCATGATGACCACAATGAAAAGCGGCCTGTTGGCCGAATTGTGTATTTTCATCAATAAATAAAGGCGCAAACAAATAACAGTGACGACAGTTGTGCTGTACTTCTAACCCCGATCGGTAGAAGGCATTGCAGCTTCACATGTTTTAAGGCGCTTGCTTGGGATGAACATATCCTGGGAACAGAGAGATCGGAACTTTGTGTGGCTTGAGTTAAGACAAAATTCACTAGGCTTCTGAAACGTACACGTATGTTTGGTAGGATATAGGATATTTCTTCTTACACAACCATAAATGTTTCTTAACTGCTTACTCTTTTGATGTCTATCAGACACCTTCCTCAGAGTTTCTGACTGGAGTACTGCTTCTCGCCGCTATATGTAGATGTCGCTTTTGCGGCGAGAACACAATCCCAAACATGACAAAGTACTTACATGTAAGTATAACGTCAGTACTCCAGTCAGAGAAGCAGTACTCCAGTCAGAAGCTCTGAGGAAGATATCTGACAGACGTATGCAAACATTATTTTACCGGTTGTGTAAGAAGAAAATCCCTACATCTCATATAACAAAACAACGTTTAACACAGCTTGAAACAAAATGCTGTGGGTACGATTTTTTGCATGTTACAAAGTTCAATACAAAGGCTTTGTGAATGGCCTTGATATTGATTTTTATGGGATTTGTTGAGACCATGGAGCGGAATTGAATGTGCTCCTTTTCAAAGTTATCGATTTTTCTCGGTAATAGCCATCAGGAATTATCAACCTTGCCGGCGAACCCAAGCTATGCTAAATATGGAACACGATATTGATATGATAAATATAAGACATTCATTTGCAACGCATCTTAGTTTAGAGAGCAAAAACAGCATGTTCAAACTCTCAGCGAACTGGATTGGCTTATGGTTGGGTGGGAAAAAATGATTTTTTGTGGCATTTGACTCGGTAGGTATGTTGTCTACGGAGGCTTCTTATGAAATCAAACTTTTACGTTACTGAGATATGGAGATAGAGACCACCAGCTCATTATGTACGTTTGTCCTTTATTATTATTATTAGGCCACAGCAAGTTATTTTCATGGATGACATCAGCGCGCGCATTAATTTTCGCCTGATTTTGGGAAAAAAAACAAGAAATTTTGTTGCCTTCTGACAGTGATCAACATGCTGTAAATGAGCAAAGATGTATGCCGGGAGGTGGATACCAGATATCTATGAAGAGAGGAGACAAGACAAGACTCTGACTTTATGTTTTGTTTCTTACTTTGATGCAGTGATATGTGATATTGGCTGTGTAATGTGATGTTCCCACTGAATCAAATCATTTGTACAATGATTGAGTCAAAATTTTAAAATGTAGGAACGTTGTTTTTTTTCGGCCCGTCTTGTTTTTTTTTCGCCCGCTCGCATTATCATTATTATTATTACCATTATTATTATTATCATTATTATATTACTTTGTTTTATTGTTTTCTTTCATGTGTGAGGAGAGGGCTGACATACGTTTCATAACTTTTTGCCCAGTCCTCGAAAAATAAATGTGAATAAAAAATAAAAAATAAAATATGGAGAGACATGCAGCATACTCCCAGACTACAAAGTAGGGACGCGAGACATACAGAAAGACCATCACACGGTCTGGCGATTTCCCTGTGTAGAGGTCACCCCAGAGTCCATATCGATCCATCAGTTCAGCTGTGATGTTATTCGCAAATGTTATAAAAGGGGGCCTCGTGCAATTTTCATCACATGCTTCCCACCAACCGCTGTGCACTGCCTGCAGTGCGTTACACAACCGGTAGGTGTCCATTTTACCTTTGGTCCATGATGCGCGCAATATTAACATATGGATCGACTGTTTATGTTAACCTTCTCAGAAGAAAAACGTATTTTTTTCTGTGTTTCTATTTTTCTTCTTCTTCTACAAACACATAAGGTCAATTACTCGGACCAGACGTCTGTCACTATGGTAACTGGTGCTGTAGCAGACAACCTGTAGTGTTGGGTTACATTATGTAGCAGGACAGAGTTGAAGGGGCTGGTGAACATATAAATGTACTAGTATATGTATGTGTTTGAGTGAGAATAAATTTTAAACATAGGGGTAGTAACGTTTGTTAGACTAGACATGAAGGTTAGTATTATGCATTTGCTTTACAAATGTCACCCTTCTAGTTGTATCTATAGTCTGATGATATAGATATCAACTCATCAAGTTCATATGCTAACAATGTCACACAAGCGATAGAACTAACTTTCACACTTGTAAGACTTTAAGCCTGGTGCGATGGAATCAGGTAAGATCCTTTCATGAAATGGATATAAGTTTGCAGAACAACATTTTCTAAAGGCCACAACGTGAACCGGCCAAGTGGGTTCCAGTGTTTGCATTCTGTAGGTCATGAGTTCAATCCCCGGTCGAGTCAAGGCTAAAATGGCACATACTGCATTCGCAGCTTAGCACTCAGCATTTGGGAAAGAGTATGGAAGTTAAACTGACACCGCTACTAGTGGACTAGCCTCCTGCTATGGGGAAAGTCCAAGGGCAACAGAAACGGATATGCACTATGGGTACGGGCAAGAAACTCTAACGTTAACTTAACATGGGAGTAAAACCTTCACTGCCTGTCCTTAGAAGGTGACTCGGTTTAACAACCGTAAAGATAATGCGATGAAATCAGGTGAGATCTGTTATCAAAGGGATAGAAGTTTCTAGAACAACGTAACGCTTTCTAAAGGCCATGGGAGTGTTCGCCTTGCATTCTGTAGGTCATGAGTTCAATCCCCAGCCGACTTTTAAAATGGTACATAATAGTACATACTGCTTTAAAAGTATCTGCTTAGCACTTTGGTAACTAGGCGGGAGTTAAACAGACGCCACTACCAGGAGACCAGTCCCCTGTTGTAGTGACTGCCCAAGGGCTTAGACAGAAACGGGGATGCACCATGGGTGCGTAAACGAACTTAAACGTAACATGGAGACGATTAACTACTCCAAGTTCAAGTTTATTGAGAAAGGAACTCGCGGGCCTGAGTTACCCGAATTGCGTCTCCGCCAAAATGCAATGTTTTACTAAAACCACCATTTAAAACCCACTCACGAGTAAAAACCAAATTCATATCTACAAGTAAGAAACAAACAGATCACAGACATAGGAGACATTTCCTGTTTCAATGTTTCGGTCTGTTGTTGTAAAGTCGTATTCCACAGTGAAGAAAGCTGTGGGATTGTGTGGCGTAGCGGCTCGACTCGAAGCCAAGAGGTCCCGGGTTCGAGTCCTGACATGCCACCGATCCTGTGCCCTTGGGAAAGGCACTTTACACGACTTTCCTCACTTACGTAACTCAAGTGAGAATAAGTATTCTCCTGTCATGTATCTGTCCTCTGCGTTGGTGGCGGCATAAAATAAGTTGATGTAACTTGAGTGTGCCGTCACCATGTCTAGTCATTGTTGGAATATAAAAAAAAAAGACAGGAATTGCTAAGTTACTTGTCCTCAGAAGGTGACTCTGTCAAGGTAAAGACAGCTCATCGCGCCATCATCTACCTGACGAGGCTGATTAACTAACTACGTTTTACTCTCTCCAGCCGCTTCCCGAAGCCTGGTAGAGGTTAGTATTGCACAGTGCAGGAAGGAATTGCTAAGTTGCTTGTCCTCAGCAGGCGATATCGGTTTAATAACCGTAAAGGTAAAGACAGGTAAAGACAGCTCATCGCGATGATCGGCCTGACGAGGCTGATTAACCACACGACAGCGCGCACAGCTGCAGCGGACGGCTGCCAAATCCCCGCGACGTAGATCTTCAGCAAAACGCTGTTTATCTCCCGTCATACACAGCCAGGATCAATATGCTCACCAAACCGTAGGATTATCCAACAAATTGCTGACGAAAAGCCCATTAGGGCGAGACATGGGTCATTAAAGCCGGGATCTCCCGGCCATCTACGACCTTATTCTGTCCTTGATACTACCACTACGTACTGTTCAATTCATAAAGGCTGAGCCCGGGTGTCACAGCTGGGGTGTTGACGGTTACAAATGGCCGTACTTACGGGCACAAACGTTTTTGAAGTCCTGGCGCCAGAGTTTAAACACCTTCAATTGTCTGGAAGCGTGTGAGGGGGGAGGTGATGACAGAGCCGCCTGGTGGCTTGTAAAATGCATGACTTTTACACAACGAAAGGTAACAAATGCGTCGATGCATCTCATAAGCTACATGTTAGCAACGTTCTCCATCAGAGCAAAGAAATATATTAACCCCACACATTCTTAATTTTTGTTTAAGTTTCCTTGTTTTCATTACTTTCTACATTACTTTTCATTATTGTA